TCTGCTTAACCTGTATTGTTATAATTCTCAAATAAGGTAATATCTCATTGTACCTCTTCCAGTTCCATCTCATTTTATTGATTTCTTTTGGGGAGGGACTAGGAATCATACTCAGGACCTTGTGCTTGCCAGGCAAGTGCTTGTGCCACTGAGCTGTATCCCCAGGCTTCCGTCTCATTTTAACATCTCTGCAAATGAGGTGAGTCATCCCGATGTGCTCAGGAGAGAGCGCTCTGTCAGTCTTCAACTGGCAGCACTTTTTTCTTAGCAATACATACAATAATGTCTCTCACAGCCAGAGGACATGCAGAAAGTCGATAAATGTGCCAGTGTGACACAAAGGGCAGAGTCTCATAATTTATATGTTTGTTTTAAATCACCGTTAATAAAGCAGCTTCTTAGCCATTATTTCGCTGTGATTCCAGAAGCAGAAGAAAGAGCTCACAGCTGGATCTGAGTTTGAAGGGCTGGGGAAGGGACATAGCGCCCACTGCCGGGGAGCGGGAAGGAAGGGTCCTGGCCCTAAGTAGTAGCTTTTCCAGGAACCTCAAGACCAGGCCTCACTGGGTGGGAGATGCTGCGTCGCCTTTGAAAATCGGGAAGAACCCAGGCATCTCCTCACATAGTTGGTTTACATGAAGGGGAAAAGACAGCTGGGGTGGCTGGTAAGAGCAGCACTCAGACTAGGACTTGGGCCCCAGCTTTTGTCACATAACCTTGATCTGACCTCAAGACTCACATTTCTCGCCAATGAAAACAGAGATGGTGTCAGGCGTGGTGGTGCATGGCTGTAATCCCAGCACTGGGGAGGCTGAGACAGGAGGATCACTGCAAGCTCAAGGTCAGCCTGGGCTACATATTGAGTTGAAGCCCATCCTGAACTGCACAGGGAGACCCTGCCTTAAAAATAAAATTTTTTAAAAAGCCAAAATAGAGAGAGTAAAAGGACACAAGATATATGCAGTGCTTATGCCACTGTTATTTCTTTTCATTATTGTTATTCTATATCTGGGCCCTGGGGACCCATCACCAAGACCAGTAGAAAGAGCAGCAGTACCGGAACTGAAAGAGGTAACGGGGTGGGGGGGCGGTGTGCACGTGTGTCTCGCTCAGGTCCCCAGCTGGCAGCCTGCAGGCCTGATTCGGACCCAGGACTTTGCATTTGGCACAGCTCCCTTAAAAACACGCTCAAGGTTATGGGCGTGGTGGCGCACGGCTGCAATCCCAGCACTCGGGAGGCTGAGGCAGGAGGATCATTGAAGTGCGAGACCAGCCTGGGCTACAAAGTGAGCTCAAGGCAGCCTGAACTGCATAGTGAGACCCTGTCTCAAAAAGACTCCCCCCACCCCCCCGCAAAAAAAACAAAAACAAAAACAAAAACAAAAAACATGTTCAAGGACACTTAGGGTAACAGACGCTCTCCTCCCTGTTGTGTTCCGTTGGGTCACCACCTCACTCACTCCCGCCCCTGTCTATTCTGCCAGGCTTCAAAGGCCTTGGAAGCCCCTAGAAACAGCACCTTGGCTGCAAATTGGCATCTCCCAGAGGCCCTTGCAGCTGAGATGGCTTCAGGATAGCAGATGCCAACGCCAGGGCCAGAGCAGGACACGAGACTGTGTGTGCTCCCACCTGAAACTTACCCGGGGACACCCGCGTGTAGCTAGGGACACCGGCGAGAAGGGTTTATGAGTCTGGGGTTAAACAGGCAGAAGCAGAGGCCAGGAAGCGCCAGGCGTTTGGGAGCCTGTGTGTTTCCACGGCGGAGGAGCTCACTAGTCCCTTGCGGGATTTTCAAGAAGGTAAGAAATGCCGGCTGTGAAGCCCCTGGAGTGAGACCCTGCCAGACGCCATCCTTGTCATTGGTTTCCCTGCTGCCCTGCACCCCTGAGCCAGGCACTGCCTGGGGGGCCGATGGCAGAGCCTCACCTGGGAAGACCTCCCTGATGAGGCTGGTCAGACGTCCCACGATTTCCAGCACCGCCGCCTCTCCCAGCTTCTCGTCGGGCACGTGTGGAGTATCATCGCTGCAAAACACCACCAAGCCAGTTGGGGGCGGGCAACTCAGGAAGGGCGGCAAGAAGAGGAAGGGGCAGCTCTGCAGGGAGAAGAAAGCTGTGAGGGCCTGGGGATTTAGCTCAGC